AAGTTGGCTTAAAACTCAACATTCAGAAAACTAAGATCATGACATCCAGTCCCATCACTTCATGGTAAATAGATGGGGAAACAATGGAAACAGTGAGACTTTATTTTGGGGGGCTCCAAAATCACTGTGGATGGTGACTGCAGCCATGAAATAAAAAGACGCTGCTCCTTGGAAGAAAAGCTATGACCAACCTAGAGTGCATGTTAAAAAGCAGAGACGTTACTTTGCCAACAAAGGTCCGTCTAGTCAAAGCTATGGTTTTTCCAGTAGTCACGTATGGATGTGAGAGTTGGACCATAAGGAAAGCTGAGCGCCAAAGAATTGATGCTTTTGAACTGTGGTGTTGGAGAAGTCTCTTGAGAGTCCCTGGGACTGCAAGGAGATCCAACCAGTCAATCCTAAAGGAGAGTAGTTCTGAGTGTTCATTGGAAGGACTGATGTTAAAGCTGAAATTCCAATATTTTGGCCACCTGATGAGAAGAACTGACTCATCTGAAAAGTCCCTGATGCTGGGAAAGATTGAAGGTGGGAGGAGAAGGGGACGACAGAGGATGAGATCGTTGGATGGCATCACTCACTTGATGGACATGAGTTTGAGTAAGCTTCAGGAGCTGGTGATGGACTGAGAAGCCTATTGTGCTGCGGTCCATGGGGTCGCAAAGAGTCGGATACGACTGAGCGACTTGACTTAACTGACTAAAGTTTAAATTGACATTTTGAAATATTTATTAATCCCTTGAAAACAAAATCATTCAGTTCAGGTCAGTCACTAGAAGCCTCTCAAGGGTCTTCTCTAGCACCACAGTTCAAAGGCATCAATTTTTCAGAGCTCAGCCTTCTTCATGGTCCAACTCTCACATCCATACATGACTACTGGAAAAACCATAGCTTTGACTACATGGACCTTTTTTAGCAAGGTGATGTCTCTACTTTTCAATATGCTTTCTAGGTTTTCAGAGCTTTCCTTTCAAAGAGCAAGCATCTTTTAATTTCATGGCTGCAATCACCGTCCACAGTGATTTTGGAGTCCAAGAAAATAAAGTCTCTCACTGCTTCCATTGTTTCCCCATCTATTTGCCATGAAGTGATGGGACCAGATGCCATGATCTTAGTTTTTTGAATGTTGAGTTTTAAGCCAGCTCTTTCACTCTCCTCTTGCACCCTCGTCAAGAGGGTCTTTAGGTCCTCTTCACTTTCTGCAATTAAAGAGATATCATCTGCATATCTGAGGTTGTTGATATTTCTCCTGACAATCTTGAGTCCAGCTGGTGATTCATCCAGCCTGGCATTCTGCATGATGTACTCTGCATATAAGTTAAATAAATAGGGTGATATTAGACAGCCATGTCATACTCCTTTCCCAAATTTGAACCAGTCTGTTGTTCCATGTAAGGTTCTAACTGTCACTTCTTGAATCACATACAGGTTTCTCAGGAGACAGGTAAGGTGATCTGGTGTTCCAAGCTCTTTAAGAATTTTCATGGTTATACAACATCAAAAATATCGCATTTGCTAATGTCATCACTAATATTATCAGAATTATCTTTCAAGTATTGGAAAGCTGTCAAGCTCAAAGTGACAGATACAAGTTTTCCAAAATTCTAACTTTTGTTTGAGAGCTCAAATTTATTAATGCAAATACATACTGTCTATTTCCTTGAAGTGGCAAGACTGTTTCAGTCATTTTTGAGAAAAACCTACCAAATACCCATGTCTAAATAACCATCCTGTTAGTCAGTCTTTCAAGTAAAAATGGCATTCCATGAAAAAAGTGGCTATGTTAGCTTGCAACTCAATTACACAAGAGCTTCAAGACCTTTATTTTGATACATAGCAGAAGTATTTTATCCATCCTTCAAATTTTGTGACACAGAATTATAAAAGGATACATCCACTTCTGGGTATATTTCCAGAAAACACTAATTCAAAAAAATACATGTACCCAAATGTTCACAGCAGCACTATTTACAATAGCCAAGACATGGTAGCAACCCAAATTCCCATCAACAGATGAATGGACAAAATTGTGGTATATATATGCAATGAAATATTACTGAGCCATAAAAAAGAATGAAATACTGCCATCTGTAGCAACATGGATGGACCAAAAGAATATTACATTCAGTGAAATAAGTTAAGAGAAAGACAAACACTATATGATATCACTTATATGTGGAACCTAATAAGTAATACAAATGAATGTACGTGCAAAACAGAAACAGATTCACAGATATAGAAAACAAACCTGCAGTTACCAAACGGAAAAGGGAAAGCAGGGAGAAACAAATTAGGGTGTGGGATGGACACATACAAGCTACCACACATAAGACAGATAAGGGCTTCCCCAGTGGCCCAGCAGTAAAGAATCTGCCTGCCAGTGCAGGAGACATGAGGTCCATCTCTGATCCAGGAAGATGCCATATGCCATGGCTAACTCCCATATGCCACAGAGCACCTAAGCCTGTGTGCCACCACTGCTGGGCCGGTGCCCTAGAGCCCGTGCACAGCACGGAAGCCACCAGAGTGGGAAGCCTGTGCACTGCAACTGAAAAAAGCCCAACGAAGACCCACACAGCCAACAACAAAAATAACTCTTTTAAGTTTTTAAAAAATACATAAGCTATCTATCTTTTATATATATCAACAAGGATATACTATATAGCACAGGGATATACCTATTATCTTACAATAAACTACAATGGGGTACAATCTGCAAAAATCAGGTCAGTTCTTTACCATCTGAGCTATCAGGGAAGCCCATTATGCTGTACACCTCGAATTAACACTATTGTAAACCAACTATACTTCAATTAAAAAATAAAAAGATGCAATTTCAAGGATCAAAATTTGATAAAATTATTAAGTTTTCCCCTTTCATCAAAACATTCTTAAATGAAACTGCCCTTTTTATATGTGGGGTGATGTGGCGATGATGACTAGTACGGTTTGGTGCTATTGCCATGATTTGTTCTAAGGTGCCAGCGGTTTTACCTGTCGCTGCTTTGCATCATCATCACAGACATCAACACAATGTAAAAGGCATTATTATTACTATTATGAAAATAGTTTTGACCTCACAGATATGCCCTAACATGGGGTCCACAAACCACACTTGGCAAAACACTGAAGAACATTTACAACAGTTAAAAACCGAAACTTTTTTCTCACCTTTTGATTAATGACAACAAATCCTTTATTGGACTGAGCACAGACTTTGTCTTTCAAGTCTATTATTTTTTGTACTCTGTCTTCAATAAATTTTCTTTCAGCTTTTACCAATTTCTCTTTCTCTTCTGCAGTCTTATAAAAGAAACCAGAGCTCACCTCACTAGAAGATTAAGAAAGACAAGCTAGTAAAGTTAAGGCAGGGAAAAACAGGAAGGTAGAAAGGGCTTATAGTAAACATTTGGTAGGTAAAAATAGGAGTGAAAAAACAGTTTTAGAAAAAAAACAATTTCAAAGGATACAAAGAGTAACTGGGACACTTACGTTTTTTCATATTCTAGTGATACATTACAGGTAAGGATAAATGCATCATCTACTCGTTTCTTCATATCTGGATGACGGGCACCATGATCCAGAACTAACCCTTTGATCAACCTAGTAAAAATATGCACTGTTTCCTATTTTGAATATACACTCTAAATTTAGTATAAAATTAAAATTATACTCTTAAAGTGGTAACAGAACTGCCAGAGCAATTGTTACACACTATTGCCTTATACCAACTTTAAACCCAACACATAATTAATAAAATTAGAAAAGAGAACCTATTTTAACACAGTGTGACTGTGAAGTGACAATGAAAAGTCAATCCCGAATTATTCTTTAAACTGTGTGGCTCAAACATGTGACACAGCTGATCAAGTAATGAAAGGGAGACACACAATGAGTTTCTAAGGCACATTTGTTCAAACTAATTATATGGAACAACTAAAAACTGTTAACCTAAATGTCCAACAATAGGACATTGTTCAGCAGACAATGACTTGACTATGGGCTAGTCATGAAAACCATGTAATAACATGGAAAAATATTTACAGGGGTAGCTATATTTATAAGCAGAGAATGACAAATTACCTATAAAGTGTGATTATCACTATTCTTAACAAGCTCCTTGGCATTGAAAAGGAAAAACAGAAGAAAACTAAGAGTAGGATTATGCCTGGGTGGTAGGAACAGAGATAATTGGCAGGGGGCAGCGGGGTTTTTTTTTCCTGTTTTCTAAATGACTTTTCAAGAGAAAATATTTCTACAACTTTCAAAAATTCATTTACACCCAACTAGGAAATACATTTCTACTTATGAATCTTTTATAACCAATATTTGTTATACATTAATGTAGAGAAGTGATTTTTTAAACAGTTGAACATAATTATAGGGAAGTTTACAAAATTTTCTTCTAACTGGATTACTCCAACTCTTAACTGAATGTGAAGACATTTTATTTAGGAAGAAAGAAACAAACTTCATGTCCAATATTCTTCACTCTTCAAGTCTCCTTCACTCTTCCACTGCTCCTCACCCTCAGTAAATGACTTTGCTTGAGAAAATAAACACTCTGTCCCACCAGGACCTCCACCAGCACTCGAACCTCAAGCTCCTATGAACAGAAATGAACTGCCCATGCTCCCTCCTCTCTAAGGCGACCCCCCTCCAGTGGACTGAATTCCATTTCCCTCTTGGCTCCTGCAACTGTCCCCTCCTCCCCCCCATCAACTGTTCCTGCCTCCACGAGCATCCTCATCAGGATACACACTTGCCATAGTAGTTCTCATCTTTAAAACAAAAAATTATTCCCCTTTGGCCCCATTCCCACGTTCCATTCGAGCTACCGTCCCACTTCTCTGCTCCCCGTTAGAGCTAACTCCTCTGAGTTGTCGGTATTTGCATCCTCACTTCTTTCTTGAGTCCACCTTCAATCTGACTCTCACACTCACCCCTTAACCATTCTCCAAATCTAATGGCCAATTCGTTTGTAACTTGCTCAAACTGTCAACAGCAGGTTACTCTCTCCTTGAAACACTTTCTCTCTTAGCTCCTGGAATGCTGCTCTTTCTTGGCTTTCCTCCTTTCTCACTGACCACCCTTTTTCAGTCTCCCTTGTTCAGTCCTCCTCATCTTCTAAGTTTCTAAAAACTGCAGTTTTCAGGGCTCAATCTTTAAACTTCCTCTTTTCTCTATCTTTATCACTTTCCAGATGATCTAATTAACTCTCAGAGCTTTACGTCATCCACACACCAATGACTCCCAAATATATATTTCCAGTCCAGACTTCTATCCTGAATTCCTGACACCTCCCTTCAAATCCCTACTCAGCAGCTCCAAATGGACATCTAATAGGCACCTAAAACATAACAGTCCCCAAACTAAGCTCTTGACTTATTGCCTCACACCTGCTCCTTCCCAAGAAATGGCATCTCTGATTTTCCAGCTGCTCATTCAAAACCCAAAAAACATCCTTGAATCCTCTGCTTCTGTCACATTCTGAGTGGAACCATCAACAAATCCTGGGGCTCCTTCTTTCTAAGTGTACCCTGATCCAAACCTTTTTTCATCTCTCACCTGTATTACAACAGATTCCTAACAGATCTCCTGCTTCTGCCTTTGCACTACACCCCCTGCTCCACAGTGTCCTTGCCACAGAACAACCACTGAGATTCTTCTGAAATATAAACCAAGAACTTCTTGCCCTCAGCAATCATAAGGTAATTTGGACCAATTTTACTACCAAAAGCAACTAAAAATGCTGGACTAAAAACAACAACAACCCTTAAAAACACTGAAGAGTCACAAAACAGTACAGAGCCACGAAAGTTTTCTTTTCAAAACTGAAAACAAAATAGAAACTCCAGAGGGTAACTAGAAAACTGCAGGCACTCACCCTAAAGTCATCTCACAATTCAAGCATATCTGAACTTTGATCTTATAATGAGAGGGAGAAATAATTAAAAGCTCAAGGTTTATCCAAAGTAGAGAGTATCATAGAAGACTCTTTTCACATTAAGTGAACTTCAAAGGCTACATACTCAGGGTATAACCCAGAAGCCCTCCTATGGACTTGTAGCTAGAATTCGCAACAACTGGATATTCAATAAAAACCTCAAGCTGTGGCTTTAGTTTAAAGCAGTCTCTGGGCTTCTTGCAGCAGCAAATTCAAATCCTCTTTGTACAAAGGCAGCTTCAGCCTAAGTCTCGAATTATTTCTACAAATACTTTTTGCAACACAATCAATGGCACACATTGAAAACAAAGCACAATGAGTGAGGACCAACAAAATACAGTAAACAACAGAAATAGAAAAGACAAAACTTTAAATATTGTAATATTAAACATGAACTATATGTTTAAAGAAATGAAAGGTAAGTTTGAAAAGATCTGCAGGAAACAGGAAACCATACAAAATGACAAGGCAGATTAAAGGACAAACCAAACAGGCTTCTATAAATATGTAAAGACACCCACACATATATTAAAAATAAAGTATTTACAGATAAAATACAACATCTGAATTGGCTTTAAAATAATCCAGATTTGGGGCAAAAGAAAGGAAAGAGAAGTATAGAAAGAAAGAGAAGGGGGCATATAAGGTAAAAATAAGATGAACCATATATTGAAAATTGATAAAGATGAGTGACAGATATGTGGGAGTTCATTCACTATTCTATTCTACTTTTGTATGTGTTTAGAATATTCCATAATAGAATGGTTTTTTTTTAATGGACAAAGTTCTTATTATTTATTTTTGGCCATGCCATGCAGATCTTAGTTCCCTCACCAGGGTTCCAATACAGGTCCCCTGCAGTAGAAGTGCAGAGTTGGAACCACTGGACTACCAGAGAATTCCCAGTAAGTTTGTCCTTGATGCTGCAAAATCACGTCAGTCATGTCCAACTCTGTGCGACCCCATAGACAGCAGCCCACCAGGCTCCCCCGTCCCTGGGATTCTCCAGGCAAGAACACTGGAGTGGGTTGCCATTGCCTTCTCCAATGCCTGAAAGTGAAAAGTGAAAGTGAAGTCGCTCAGTCATGTCCAACTCTTAGCGACCCCATGGACTGTAGCCTACCAGGCTCCTCCGTCCATGGAATTCTCCAGGCAAGAGTACTGGAGTGGGTTGCCATTGCCTTCTCCGTATAATAGAATGTTTAAAATGAGTTAAGTCCAAAATCAACAAGGTGCTATTCACTTTGAGTACATACTACATACATACTCAGACAATGTTAACTGTCTTACCTCTCTGACCTCATCTTCTCCTTTTTTTCTCTTCCTATGACCCAGGCACGCTAGAACACCTCAAAACACACCTGCCTGGGGACATTTTCCACTGTTATTCCCTCTGTTTAGAGCACTCTTCTTCCAGATGTTCACATGGCTATCACCCTAATTTCTTCAAAGACCGCTTTAGCTATTCACTTTCTCATCACAATGTTCTTCCTTGACTATCCTAAAATCACACACATGCTCACACACACAACTGCTCTAGCCTCTTTACAGCACTTATTAGCATAATGTGCTCACTATCTCTTCCAATTGGAAATGTAAGATTCTTAAATAAACTGTTTTGTTTACTCTTCATTCCTAGCACTTAAAACAAGTGAATGGTTGCAGCTAAGTATCCAATTAATATATGCTAAATGAATAGAAAGATGTTGAATAAAAGTAACTAATAAAATTAATGACAGAATATCTGCAGATAATCAAGTATTCTAGACTCTATGCACTGTCAAAGTTTATGTCACTTACTTTGTATCTGTTTCCGATTTATGCTTCATCTCCATGATTTCTACCATGAAGAGATCAATAGGATAATTCGGTCTTCTAATTGCCAAAACAGAATCCACCACAGCCTGAAAGAGAAATGGGTTAGAACGTTAAACTATTTGGTCTACTGAAAGAAACCACTGGCCCTAGTAATTGATCACTAGACTAAGCAGATAAAGTGTTTCAGGCTCCAAAACACAGGGCAAGACAAAAAAATACCACTTTCTCAGGGTCACTAATGATAACCAATGCCAATGGATACTTTAGAGCCTACATGAACTTCAGAGATTATCAGGTCCAAACCCTTCATTTAACAGAGAAGACTTTAAGAATTATGGTCTTAAAACAAAGTGTAACAGGTACTCTAACAGTAGTAGTCAGGACTAAAAATCAGAGGTGTCTTTAACTGCCAAGCCTACTATACCAACACAACTCAGACTTTTCCACCAGAGGACACCTTAATGGAAAAGAAGGAAATGTAATCTCAGGAAAGAGTTCAAATTTGCTCACTCTAACAACATGAAATTTTTAAGTCTTCTGTCTTCCCATGAAACTTTTCCATGTCACGCCACAATATATACATTTGTTTTTTGTTTTTAATTTTACTGGAGTAAAGTTTATTTATAGCATTGTTTTGCACATTTGTTTTAATGTGAAAATAATGCTTTCCCTAAAAATTGTAAAGTAAAATTGACACTCCAGAAAGATATGTCTAATTTATTCTGGCAAATATCCCCAGGGATATGTAATTTGAGAAGCACAACACAACACAGCCTATAGCTTAACTCAAAAAGTAATATGAAAATAACTGACTACAGAAATTTAAGTGCTGTAGCATAACCATCCTAAAATACAAACAAAGGAAAAAAAATCTGTATCTTGGAAAAGTTTACTGAAGGAATATGATTTAAGGGTTTGATGACTAATGGAGAATAATGATAAACCATTGGAAAGTGAGAGTATACAGTGTTTCTATAGCTCCAAAAGAGAATGGGGGTCCTAATTAGAGAGCTGGAAGATTCTGGGTCATGTGATATATATACTCTAAAAGCAGAAAATATAGCAGTCTTTATTTAGACTCTGCTCAGCAAGAAAATGCTTTAATTTCTTAGTTTGATTTCTTCAGTCAGTTTTCTTATTGGTAAGCAATGGGGAGGGAACACAGCCCTGCCCATCAAAAGAAAACTGGATTAAACATTTATTGAGCACTTACGGCCCCGCCCATCAAAACAAGTCCTAGTTTCCCCGCTCAGCCTGTCTCTCCCATCAGGAAGCTTCCATAAGCCTGTTATCCGTCTCCATCAGAGGGCAGACAGAATGAAAACCACAATCACAGAAAACTAATCAAACTGATCACATGGACCACAGCCTTGTCTAACTCAATGAAACTATCAACCATGCCATGTAGGGCCACCCAAGATGGATGGGTCATGGTGGAGAGTTCTGAAAAAACGTGGTCCACTGGAGATGGGAATGGCAAACCACTTCAGTATTCTTGCCTTGAGAACACCATGAACAGTATGAAAAGGCAAAAAGGTATGACACTGAAAGATGAACTCCCCAGGTCAGCAGTTGCCCAATATGCTACTGGAGATCAGTGGAGAAATAACTCCAGAAAGAATGAAGAGGCAGAGCCAAAGCGAAAGTAATACCCAATTGTGGATGTGATTGGTGATG